TTCACACCTTGATGGTTATCCACTTATGATTCCATTCAAACCTTATGTTCACACCATGGAGAATTCCTTCCTTTTAAGCCAAATTCTTCACTCTTACTTCCAAGCCCATCTTCTCTTGATTTTGGTCCACAAATTGTAGTAATGTGATGGGCTTTCCTCGATGCAATTCCATATCCATCAAGAATGATCCCATTTGATCCTTGTATCGTTGTATTCGGGCCTTCATCTTTGGACCACAAGAATTATATGTTCTGCCAATTGATTTCACATCAACAAACTCGTAGACCTTGCTTGCAGAGCCATTTTCACCCATCTTGAATGCTCCCAAGATCTCTTAGAACCTCTTAATTCGACTATTGGCCCATGGTCCATGTGAAGATATATCTTGCAATCGAATGTGCACATGTGATGTGAGTGGGGTCGCATCACAAACCTAATACATGTCTCAGTTATCATCATAGGTTGCACATAATCACAAGCCAATCACCGATAGACAATGCTAATTACTAAGAAATTCAAATCAAAACACCACGAGTGCCACTATGATCATGCAAATGTAGAAGTTGCTACGCTTGGAGCCCTCAAATTTTAAAATTTTGGGAATACACTCAAAATCACACCAATCATTCACACACACAAGCATAATGGACTACCCCCAACACTCTCAATGGCGTAAAAGGAGGAGGTAGAATGATGTCACCGAATAAGGTGTGAATGTTGGTGATCAGGAGCGGATGGCGGGAGAGATTCGAAAGAGCAAGGCAACGTCCAAACTCCCAAAAATCCCGAAAGGTTGTTTTATTGAAGCGAAAAGAAAACAAATCGATGGAATGGGATGCCTCCCACCAAGCGCTTCTTTAACGTCATCTGTCGGATGGTTTCTCTTCAAGTTTTAGTCCACCCAAGAACCTCCTGGAAGTTGAGGTTCTCGTCGATGAGGTGGTGTCTCAATTCACGAGCATTGGACGAGTCCATGATTGAGGGCTCGTGAACTTGAAAGGCTTTGAGGCTCCACCAATGAGACCTCTCTCTATTTTCTTCTTCTCTCTTCTCTTTGCCCCACACCATGTAATGCATGATCAATTGACTTCCATCGCATCCACCAAGAGGGATCGCCGATGGTTTGGCCTTGGTTTGTCAGAGAGCTGCAAATGCGTCCTTCTCCAAGAGTGCATCGAGTTGATCCTTGATGACAAGAAGCAAGGGAAGAGAGCGATGATTTCTTGTGATTGGTGTTCTAGCACTAATCATGAAATTGTGGATTTCCAAGAGATGAAGGAAAAAAGTACCCCCGATGAGCAAGTGAGTGTCATTTCCAATGATAGAGGGAACAACCCTTATTGCAACACCTACAACCCCGGGTGGCACAATCATCCCAACTTTGCTTGGTCTTCACCTACCAATCAAAGATCTCCCAGTTTCCAAGGTCCAACGGGAAACTATCAAACTCGGGCCAACTTTCATCCAACAAAGGCCTCAATTCCAAAACTCGAACTTCCAACAACCACACCAAGCACAAGGTGGTCAAGGGTTCCAACAACAACAACAAGTCGACAAGTTTTCTAACTTCTACCATGTAGTTGATTGTGTGGATTGCATGATTATGTGTGGGTGGCGTTTAATTTAAGATTTGAGGTATTTTTCATGGTGATTGTGCATTGTGTGTGCTTGTAAATCTATTGTGCTATTCTAACCAGCTTAGAGAGAAACCCCCTTATCTTAAGAGGCTCAAATTGAAATGGGTTTTCTTAGGCATTCCATGCCTCCTAACTAGGTTAATGTAGAGCAAACCTCTAAACTTGAATTAGACACCTAAGTTAATTGTGATTAAGTCGTCCAAACCTAGGTTTGAGGGAGAAGGTAAGTCAACCCTCAATTTCTTGGGCCAAGAGGGCTACAACTGTAGCATATAATGCTTTCCTTGGCCTAGTAATTGAGAGAACCATTGTTGCACCTCCTACGATTCTCAATTGCCTTGTCGCACACCGATTCATTCGATCCCACGATTCATGGTAATTAGTTAGGGGGAAGCAACTCCCGAATGAAGCTTCTCACCAAGAGTTTCAACCCTTTTTACTTTTCAAGTCTAGCTTTTCAATAGTAGATTGTAGATATTTTCACAAACAACATTCCGCTAGATAATGTTTCAAATAATTGAAGTAGGGGTACATGGGTCGTCTCGGGTTGATATTTAAACATACTTGCCCTGTATTGCACCCATATAAAGTTATACTTGGACCTTAGGTGGGATTTTAATGTGATATTTGGTTGAGTCCGTCAACAAACAAAAAAAAAACACAAAACAGCAAAAGTAACAACCTAAGCCCTTTTCAGATAAACTAGAATGGTTCCCCACCAAGTACCAATGACGTCAAAAACTTGGCTCAACTCTAACAACACATCCCGATCAACGACGAACCACTGGGATCTAAGCTTAACTTGCTTCATGTTTAAGGTTTGTTATCTAGCCAACCTAGGATAGTGATTAAGAAAAATAAACTAGCTATTTATAAGGTTGGAACTCTCTTAGGTTTGAATCCCCCTAGTTCTGACATTTGGAACGATGTTGAGTACAATTCCCGCTTAATCGATTCATTACTCTACTGTTAGGATATAGACTCCCTCTTGAATGACCCGGAACGTTGAATCGATGGATGGATAGGTTCTCTATTCAACCTAGGGTTTTGTATATCACTAGGAGACGGATCGAATCAACTCCCTCGGGGATTACCTAGACAATATATGATAGTAGTGACCCAAAGACTCCAAAAGTGGGCTGTAAGGGGATTTTCTCCCTCCAAGGTCAAAACCTCAATACATAAAAATGGAAACCAAACTCATGCTATTAATCAAAATATCTATCAATTAAGTAAAATCATCAATCCAACATGGAATTTGTCACATACATCAACAACAAACCAAAACCTAGACCTAGGGTTCTTAAACCCAAGAGAAGAAGGCAAGTTTCTAGAGAGAGAAGAGAGAGATTACAAATTGGAGCACAAGATCTTCTTCTAATTCTTCTAGGCTTGATTCCTTGCTTCCAAGCTTGATCAATGCCTTCAATTAAACTCCAAAATCACTCAAGAAATCCTTCTCTCACTAGAACTCCTCTTTGGTTCTTTGGGTCAAAACCCTAGAGAGAGAATTGATTTCTCCTCCAAAAACCAACTCCTTTTTCTCTCTCACAGCTGCTGTCTTTATATTTGCCCGACAGTGTTGACTTCACAGTTACTGTTCTCTCTCCCAGCTCCATGTATTTTAGTATCCAACCCAATTGGGTTGGGTATGGAATCCAAATAGATTGTTGATGGGTAGAGTTTGATGGGTTTATACCCATACCCATTTACTTGGGTTGGGTTGGATTTTTAGCAAATGGATTTGGGTTTGTATCCATGCCCAAATGCAAATTACAGTTTGATACGTAAACTTAATAGATACGCATATTTAGTAACTAAATTTAATTTTTTTGCATATAAGTCCTCAAAATATTGATGGAAATTTACATTTTAGTACCTAAAATTTGTTGGTCTTACATTTTGGTACCTAAACTTTTCAAGTTTTACAAATAGGTCCAATTTTTGTATGTGTAGTTAAAACACCCTCAAGTAAATGGATATCCATATCCAACCATTACCATTTAGATTATGAAAGAAATATTCATACCTAACCCAAACTCATCTACAAACCCCCAAACCCATATACACCTCACTCATACCCTACCCATAATTAATGCGTCTACTTGGGTTTGGGCAAAATTACCCCTGGGTGGGTCAATTGCCATCCCTGGTGATGCCCTTGAAGTCTTGCACTTTCACTCCCTGAGGGTGATTTTCACCCCCCTTAGGGCGTGACAAATGCCTTCAACCCGTGAACATTGCGCAACCTCCACTTTATGGCTCATTTTGACCTCTGGCTTACCCGAAACTCATCCCGGGCCTTCCCACATGTACTAGTACCTGAAATTTGACAAAAGAAGCACAACCTAGCGTAAAATAGGTCGAGGGACGGTGATTTATCAAGTTAAAATATCCAGAAATGAGAGGTAAAGTGTGTACAATTGGACCCGAATCACTGCCACATGGTGGAGATCCGAAGGTGGTGGAGGTGATTTGCCCAGGTGAGGGCAAGTGGTGCGATATCAAACACATCTAGTGGTTTGACCCGGCCACTTCTCGTGCCAACAAAATAATCACTCTTCCTCGTTAGGAAGTTTAGGATACGTTGATTTGGCATGACACGTGCGACGCGATATTCACTGTCAAATCGGCCTATCATCTTGCGGTCTTGCTAGATAAGCAGGTAGGCAGATGGCGATTCACGACTAGTTGGATGGATAGTTCAAGCTGGATCTGCATGTGGGAAGTCCATATTCCACCCAAATTGAAGCTGTTTTTGGGCAAATTTTCCACAGGATTCTCCCAACAACGAAAGCCTTAATTGAAAGAGGTTTCAGTGCTTCCCAGATGCCCGGTTGTTGGGCAGAATCAGAGACAATGGAAAATATGTTCCTGGATTGCCCAGTGGAAAGGGCGCTCTGGGATCATTCGGGCCTCGAACATCTAGGGCAGGGGTTGCCTTGTCACACTTTTTCCGCTCTTCCTGAAAAATTTGATGGGCCTTATGCATCAATCCCAACTATTCATGCATGGCAGTTGTCGCGGTCTTTTGGCGGATCTAGCGGTCTCTTAATCGGGTTTTCTTTAAGGTAAATTGTAACACCCCGAATTTTGGATTCAGGTTCGACCAAATTACGTGAACGGTTGGGTTAACGGTTACGTACGAAGGATTACAATCGCGGGCTAGGAATAATAATAATAATAATAATAATAATAATAATAATAATAATAATAATAACAATTATGTTATTAATATTATTATTTAATACTCAAGCAAAGAAAGCAAACCCTAGGGTTGGGGGGATCGAAATCGAAGGCTCCCTTGTTGTCAGCGAGAGAAACAGCTAACTTCTTCAGCGGTATGGGTTTGAGCAATCAACCTTATAGTTGGCTATAAAGCTCAGTAAAGTCAAGCCGGAAAAGAAGGAATTTCAAATCAATGTGCTGCTGGACAGGCAACTCGGATAAGAAAACTTCCAGTAGTGATGTATATTCTTTTGCGATGGCGCCCAACTCTTTCCCCGTATTCTGAAGAAACTCCCCGGCACGTGGTGTTAGGGCCTTCCTTCCTTCACCGATCCATGACCAAGGAGGCTCGGATGGTATTTTTGCAGTGTGTTTTGATGACTTCTCTTGTCGTTGGAAGGTGAAGACACAGCATTTCTCTTGTTCTGAATGCTGATGATGACCGGAGGCGGAATCAGGGTCAATAGCACCGCTGATGGTGACCGGCGCATTCATTAGAGTACAAGAATCTGGCGACTGAACCAAAATGGAAAGGTAAAACCCTTTACTTGACGTAAGCAATTTATTATTGGATGTCCCCGGGCCCGAGGCGACTTTAAATCAAACAATTAAAAAACCCTATGTCTATTTTGAAGATAGGCAATGATCTGGGGGAAATCCACGTACCAGAGCCTGTTTGTAAGCTGGATATGTACAATGATTGTGCTTTGCCTATTGGAATGGGCATCGTCAAGTTCAATAAGAAGGTTCATATGGTCGTGGAATTTTCATAGTCTAAGTAGAGTCATCTTTTCGAGGTGAGTGTAAAGTGGGTAGATTCTACGCCTTACGTATTCTTTTAAGTATTATGATTTAAGTATTTTGGCGAATTAGTTATCGTTGCTTGGTTATGTGTATGATTGATTATTGGTGTTTTGCTTGAGTTATGGTTTGAGGTGATTTTGTGCTATTCGATGTGATTTTGTTTGAGCTATGACTTGAAGTGAATGGTTATTATTTACTTTGAAATTTTCCTGAGTATAAGTTATTGTTAAAGTTTAAGAAACAAGTTCTTTTTAAGAAGTAACTCACTTTCAAGAAGGTGAAGTCGTTTTAAGTGTTTTTAGTCACTAGCGCCAGTCCGTTGCCTTTTGAGACAGTTTGAGATGGAGCAGCTGTTATGCTCTTGAGATTTTAAGATGGGCAGCAGTTATGTCCTTGAGAATCGTGGTGAAGAGCCATCACGATAAGTTTAAGATGTTAGGGGGATGAATCGTTACGACTTCCCTAACTAAGTTTAAGTTTAAGGAAAGCCTGAATGGCTTCTCATACGTATGAGTTGGCAACCGGACTAGCTAGTGAGGGATCCCCGTGTCAGTTAAGTATTTAAGTCAAGATTTGAGCTTTAAGAGAGAAGAGTAACTTCAACTCCCTCAAAGTTTGAGAGTTAAGATTTTTAAGATTGGAAGTACAAACAACTTCCACTAGTCAAAGTTAAGTGTTTTAAGTTAAGTGCTAAGCAGTAAGAATCTAAAACGTAAGGGCGTAGACTGACCCCATCTCACTCACCAGTTTGAAGAGGAAGAAGCTAGAGGGGCAGTTAGAGAGCAGCGGGCTCGAGAGAATCAGTTCGAGTGAAGCTAGCTAGAGAAGGACGGTACGAGCGTCACAGATGATGTCTAGTCAGAGTTTTTCACACAAGCAGCAACAACTGAGACTAGTTAGTTATTATGTTTTATGATTATGAGTACGGACTGGAGATCAAGTTGAGTTTTTAAAGGTTGAGTTTAATTTGCTCACATGTTAGGGCTTTGCTTTGAACCACAAGTGTGTGTTTTCGGTATTTTATTTATTAAAAATTTTCCCAGTTGCAATTTGAGTTTTGAGTATTTTATTTATCAAGGGCATTTTAGTAAAAGTAGTACCCGGCCGGGTTAGGGTGTTTCATAAATAGTTTGGGATTCCTGCTTTAATGCGACAATACCAGTAGACCGCGTAGCCTGGTCATTTGCCCCACTGGTGGTGTGAATCCAAATTCAGTGATCTGCATGTGGGATGGGGGAACTAAGAGTGGGTCTCACTCTGCAGGGGGCATCATTATTAAGAACCAAGGGGGGGATCTTTTTGGCGAAAGGGGTGTAGTTTGCTTATATTGATGATCCTATGGTAAACCGGCTCCTTGTTCTCCGAGAGGCAATTTTCTGTTGTCTGGAGAATGGGTTTACGGAGGCAAGGTTGGAAGGAGATGCCAAAGTAATCATTGATAAAAATAAATCGGGCTGATACCCGGGATAATCGGATGGGGGTCATCCTTGAGGAAGTCACACGCTTTTTGGCTCTTCACACTAGACTTAATGTGCGATTTGTAGGTCGGAGTAGTAATAGGGTCGCCCATTTTGTGGCTAAAAAGGCACTTTCTTTGTACTCGACTACGACTCGTTTCTTCGATTTGATGGTTTGGTTAAACTCCAGAATGTGATGATCTATTGTTCGAATCAATATATATGATTATCTATTGTAAAAAAAATCCAACACTATTGGGAATTGGGCAATACAACATTTGAGTGCATAAAAAAGTGGGTATCATATCAGTGTTCTGTACGAATTTGGAACTTTTTTGGATATAAAATTCATGGGCCGCACAGATTTAAAAATCTCAATAACTTAATGAGGTTTAGGAGACGAGACCAAAATCTTAATGCTAAATGACTCTCCTATCCACACTAATGTTATTATTCTATATTGACCTTCATTATTCCTTTTTCTTATTCCATGAAACTTATGAATATTGCAAAAATAATTCAAAAAATGAACCATGAAGCTGTAATTGTGTATAACAACTAATGCAAACACTAGAGAAAACACAAAGTTTTGGTTTCTTGAATTAAAAGGTACAAACCCAAGAAAAGCAAAACATAGTTTGAAAATTTACTTCAAAAAAATAAGCAGATGGGTTAAGCATAACAAAAGACTTTCGAGTAATAAGGTAAATCAAAATGTAAATCATAAATCATATTCAACACAATTCATAATAAAATCTAATGTCCAAGTGGCAATTTTGCTCAAATCCATCATTTCATATTCCTAATTCCTAGATTTGACACTAAGGGGTCGTTTGGAAGTTGCGATTGTTAAATAGATGTATTGTTGAGAATGCATGTATAATATTATACATGTATTGTCGAATTTGATGCATTATAGAACACAACGTTTGGTATGTGTGATTGTGTATGTCGCATCAGCTAAAAGCTGAGACAAAACAATCTCAACTCAACTATCTCAACAATCACAACTAAAAGTTGAGATATAACAATCACTCAAAATGAGTGATAGTTTCTGTCACATCACAGAAACAATCCATGTATTGTTTCTGCTAAAAAAACGACGCATTGTAAACAATACATGCATAATGACAATCTCAACAAAACAATCGCAACTTCCAAACGACCCCTAACCTTCATTTTTTGAAATTCTTTATCTAGACCACCCCTTATGGTAGAAACAACAATTTTAGCTTTCTTGAACACTAAGCGAAAATATTATAACCCCAAATTGTAGGAGTTTCTATTTGGCTTAATTGCAAGTTTGGTCACTCGAATTGCTAAAAAATTTCACGTTTGCCACTCAAATTAATTTATTTCATTTGTAGTCACTCTAATTAGTTGAACATTTCAAGTTTGGTCACTCTCCGTTAACCTCCGTTAACTTTGACTAACGTGGCGGTCAACTCTGACAGTTGACCGTTAAATGTGTGACGTGGCAAATAAAAAATAATTAAAAAATAAAAATTAAATTTTTAGAAATTACACATCATTATTAAAAAAATTTATAATTATAAAAAATTTCTAAAAATTATCAGAGCCCTATCCCCACCATTATTAGGCACAACAGTAGTGGGCAACGGCTTGGGTTCGGGGACGGGAACGGGAACGGTCTCCGTACCGTGATTCAGAATGAGCGGCGGTGGGGATGGCTGTGGGCAAATGGCAATCGGCCTGAAGCCTCCAGAGTGGTAATAGTTGTTGTTGTTCATGTAGACCGGGGAAGGATGGAGCACATTGGGCTGTGTATGAGGAAGAGGGTAGCAGTAGTAGTAGAAGAAGAGTCGATTAGGGTTGGGGATTACAGCCGGGTGATAGAAGAAGGCATGGGAATGATCGCCGGCGGCGGTGGGTTTGAGAGGGAGAGGCGAAATTTTGGCGTCGGTGTGGGTTTGGGTCTTGGTCGGAGGAGAGGGAAGAAGAGCGAGCGGCGTTGAGCGGCGAGGCGCCGGTGGGTTGTTAAAAGGCGGTGTGTTGGGGTTTAGAGCAGAAGAAGGGGTTTGGGGGTGGGAGTTTGGAATTGGCGGCGACATGGCGGTGGTCGGAGGTGGTGCGGGGGAGAGGGGATGGGTTGGAGGAAGGGGAACACAGAGGTTTCAGCGGTACACCCAATAATGCCATTGATTGGGCTGTTGAAGACGCACGGGAAGTTGGTGCTGGTCGGTGCGCCGGAGAACCCGCTTGAGTTGCCGGTTTTCCCTCTGCTGATGGGTAATGAATAATGATGGAGAGATGCTTTCAACTTCTTCTTCTTGTGAAGGTTTTTTTTTTTTTGGCGTTTTAGGTAACTGTTTGGCATGTGTGAACTGCAGGAAGGAAGATTGTAGGGGGGAGCTGCATTGGGGAAATGAAGGAGACGCAAGAGATGCTCGATTTCGCGGCGAAGCACAACATCACGGCGGATATCGAGGTTATATCGGCCGATTATGTGAACACGGCGATTCAGCGCCGTGAGAAGGGTGATGTTAAGTACCGATTTGTGATCGATGTGGCCAAGACTCTCCAGCAAGGTTAAGTTTTTGTGTGTCAATTTCTAAAAATTTAATTTTTATAATTATAATTTTTATAATCATTTTTTATTTGCCACGTCACACATTTAACGGTCAACAGTTAGAGTTGACCGCCACGTCAGTCAAAGTTAACGGAGGTTAACGGAGAGTGACCGAACTTGAACTGTTCAACTAATTAGAGTGACTACAAATGGAATAAATTAATTTGAGTGGCAAACGTGACCAAACTTGCAATTAAGCCGTTTCTATTTCAATGAGGCTAAGAAGTCATTTTAGCTTTTAGCTTCTTATTTTTTCCTCTCTAGCCAAAGAGCCCGACGTGATTTCTTATTTCTACCAATTTTTGTGCAAAATTATCTATTTAAATCCAGAATAAAACAAAAAACAAAATTGCAAAAAGGAAAAAAGGAAAAAAGCGAAATAATTATGTGTTATGCTTATGCATTACTTCATTACTTGAGTTATGTGCATGGATTTCTCTCTCCTCGGTAGTCTCTACTCTCTACATAGTACATTCCAATCCAGCGCCAAACTATTTGGTGTTTATATCTCCAAGATTCCAACGGATGTCTCCACTCTCCAGTGCGAAAATTCATTCTTCAACTACATTTCTTGAACGGCAGAACAGCCGGAGAAAACTCTTTTTCTGACGATCGAATCAAAAACCAAATGCAACAAATACTCCTAAGTCGTATCTATCAACGCAAAAATTCCCCCGTCCGTATGCTTCGAACTGTCAAAACGTATCCAATCTGTTCTGCTCCAAACTCTAAAAAAGTGTATTAAGCCTATTTTTATGGCGACAGTGGGAAGGGGTTCCCAATGGTGGGATATCATAGTCGACAGAAGGAACACGGCTGCATATTGTAAGATAGCAGGTTCACTTCGAAGCTTATCAACCTTCAAGCTTTCAACCAGTAAGGGCAGATGACAAGAAGACATGATTTTACACTGTTCCCTGCGACAACGAAAGAAACACCATAAAGTTGAGGCTGCGAAATGATTACTATGTTTACGGTTCTCACTATCAGCAGCAACAAGGCAAGAGTTAAACAGACGCCCCCTTTACCTTTATCTCGTCACATATTCAAACCTTGTACTCATTCACTCGCATCCACTTCGTAGAGGACCACTTATTCCCTTTAATCACAGCACAACCACCTGAAGAGAAGAAGGCAATGTGAATAGAATCATTTTGGTGAGGGTGCACTTTTCATGGAGTAGCACAGCAATCATGCTCAACTATAAGGCAATGGCCAAGTCCAAAATCAGGCTGATTATACTAACCATGCAAACTTGAAGGATCCAGACTGGCATCAGGTTTCATGCTCCAGAAAAGCAATGCATCACCCATCTTAGGTTTGACTGAAAGCCCTTTCTTCCCACATTCGGATAACTCGTTCCACCACGGGACAGCACTGTAGTTCCCTTTTGCAGAAGGGAAAACTGTCTCACCACCTTCTTCAACGTCGGACCTGCGCACAGCAAGGACGATTGGATGCTAAACTTCGGCAATAGCCTCAAGTAAGAAACACCCAAACAGTTAAGAGCTTAAAAAGTGAAGAGACCATCTCACTTACAGGTACATAAGAATGGTAGCTATGCGTTGTCCCCCATTCTTGGTGTTGTAATCATCCATAAAGTAATCAAAGTGGGGCTCATATTTCTGCCCGACTTCGTAATGAAGGATTTGAAGCCCTTCCCCATGTTCTGCATATTTGCTTTCACTTGGGTAATTACTTAAGAGTTATTCCAACTGGCATATCAATGACTAATTTCTGACGTAACATCGCCATGTGTCTTCTCGAATGAACATTCAAGACTCAAATGACACACATGAACATAGTATTTGTAAGCAAAAACAAGACAGGATCAACCAGACTAGCGTGCATATAGGTACATTCCATAAGAACAAGAAGCAGCAAAAACATATATATAATGAAAGGTCCGTCCAACTGCCTTACCTACTGGTATGAAGGTGAAATCAGCAATCCGTTTCTCAATTTCCCGGACGACTTTGTCCCGCCCTCGAGCTAAGAATGTTCCAGAGCTTGTACGAACTCTGAGGTTACAAATGCATAACAATTTAAGGAAAGTGGAAGCAGCAGGCCGGAAGGAAGAGCACCTTCAAACCATGAAACTAAGAAGGGGAAAACGGGCAGACCAAGTAAGTAACTACACCTGCTATCTTTGCTTTTTCCAGTTTCGGAATCAACAACTGTGGACTTCACCATATGAGGCTTCGCAAGACTGATCAAGTACTCGCACTCCTCCTTGCTCTGCAACGAGGATTGATCAACCAATTCAGTTGCGACTAACAATAGATTTCAGTGGCAAACGTTTGAGCGCTCAAGTGAGACTGAACCAACAGAAAGGAAGATTGACCAAACACTCCATCTTCAACAAGATTACTACGAAAGAGAAGCCAAGAATAACACATTTTGCTGAAAGGAGATCGGAAATCAACGACATAGGCAAACGCAATTGAAGTTGAGGGCAGCCATCCGAAGACTCACGAGAAAATTATGGTAAACGAAGGCACGAGGCTCCCAGGAGATGACTTCAGCCCAAGGCTCCGATTTCCCTTGGTCCTCGGCGCTGCTGCGAGCCAGATCGATCACGAAGAAGAAGCAAGAAAATGGACGAAAACAAGGAGGGAAGGGGCATTTACCTATCCGCTTGATTGTGGACAATGTTGCTGAGATCGTGCGCTTTCCTGGAGCCGCCAGAATTGCTGGGAATGGAGAGAATTCCGAGGGCGAGGAGGATGAGAATGACGAAGGTGAACATGAGGAGCATGGTGAAAATCATGGTGGATGAATTGGATTTCCGAGACGGAAAGCGGGAGTATCTGGCTTTCGCCATAGCGAATTCTTCTCGAATCAGATGGAGAGGATCGATTCGAATGATGGCAAAGATCTGAGCGAAATGAATGGATTTGGGTGATAGAGATAGAGATAGACAGAGATGAGATTAGGGTTTTCAGTCAAGGCCAAGCAAGCTTGCTGTCGGTGTTGGTTTCTGAAATTGGAATGGATTGGAGGGGACGCCAGTTATTCATTGCGGAGCCGAGAGAGTTGTTCAAGTATTACGCGGTGACTTGTCCCGTCTGTACCGGCGACTTTTTGCATCTCTCTAACTAAACTACTAGTTTGGTACCCGATCCGTTGACCCGGTAAATTTTGTTTGAAATATGTACTTTGGTAATTTTTTCCTCCTAAGGTGTCTATTTTGTTCAGTCTGTCATTGTCCTCTCTTATTTCAAATCGTGTATACCTTTGAGTCCGACCAGTTGGCCGCTAAATGATTTTTTTTAAGGTAAATTAGTTTGTACTGCTCGACAATATTTTAGCACCCATGAAATTGTTGTGCATTATTATTATGATATTACAAAATTAAACATTGATATTATTTAGTAACTCAGTAGAATAAGAAATTTGTTCTGCGATCTATGTTAGTATATACTTTATGGCGGTACAATTGAATGATATTGATATAGTTTCGCAACTATCGAATAGGAACATGCCTTGTATATATATGATTGTGGCTATGTTTAAAAAAACATATATCAAAATGGATATCCTTGTGTAGATCACATAAAATCTGATTTTTTCGCGCAATAATATTTAAATTTGGAGTTGAAGCGAAATAAATATGAATCAATTAAGGGTAGTAGGAGAGATTTAAAAATAAGAGAGAGAGAGAGTTAAGTGGCACATTCTGATTGGGGTATAGAAAAACTTAAAATAAAAAAAAGGAGTTAAGAAAAAATATGATTGGTCGGAAGGGTGCTGACGTGAATGCGTCAGTGGCGGATCCAGGGGGTGGCCACCCCGGGCCTCGGCCCAGCCCTCCTCTGGATCCATAGTTAGTATAGGCCTTATGAATTTTTCGATTTTAGATATTCGGGTCGTTGTTATTTTAAAATAAGATTGGGTATAATTAGAAAAATAATTCAGATGAACATATTCAAAATCACTACTGTAAATTTAGCTTATAAATTCTAACCCCAAAGGTTTTTCGTCTAAAAAACAATGAAACCTAAAAATTCAAAAAGTTTATAACGTAAAAGACTAAAACATATATGAGGTTTGTTACCTTGGAAAATTTACTAGAGCAGCTGGTGGATATAGGGATGGAAACACAATGCAAATTGATTAGTAGATTGATTTGTCTAGTGTTGATGCTCCTCGTTTCAACAGCTAATATGAATAGAACCTTTTCAACAACGAAACATGTGAAAATTGATTTGCGCAACAAAATGAGCTATGGATTTCTAGTCGATTGCTCAAGTATTTTATTTGAAACAGTGTATACTATTGGTATGAATGTGGACTCCATTATTAATGCATTCGCTAAATTAAAATACCGTCGTGTACAATTTACATTGTAAAAAAATTATAATCATTATATTTTTTTACTATTCTAATTTTATAATAAAATGCGGCCCAGTGCACTTCTGTGTTCTGGATCCGCCGCTGGAATGCGTAGGAGGGCTGGAATTTTGAAATGGTGAAAGTAGTTTTTGGAAAAGCCTTTATATATTTTATAGATAGATAGATACACATCCTGACCCTGAGCATCGTATCCCATCTCGTCCACTTTCCTGTTTCCCGCATGACAAACACAATTACATAGAAAAAATGTAAAAAAAACAAACTGGAATATAACAGGTGTAAAACCCTTAAAAAATCGCTTATAAATAAATAAATATATATAGATACATACAGTAATCCATTTAAAATTCTAAATCAACATATTATAAATAGCCACACATAAAAATGACTTCATTTAAGGAATCAAATTTTAGGTGTGGAAATAAACAGATCAATCATATAATTAAGTCATGCCTTATAAAACAATAACGCCTCATTTTAAGAAATTAAATATTAGAAATGGAAATAAATAAAGTAGTGGTTAGGGGATGTGCACGGAAAAAGGGAAAGTTTTTTTTTTTTTGTGGGAAAAAAGGGAAAGTTTTAAATTCGCCACTAGAATTTTCAATAGTTATAAGTATTTCAAAATCTAAATTAATTTTTAAATAATTAGTATATAGTTAATTACTATATATTTTTAAAGGTTCAAATTGTGCAAAACAAACTTGTAGCATTATTGGCCCGTTTAGTATTGTTGCTTGTTTTTGTTTCCTGTTGTGTTTTAAGAACTTGGAAAACCAAGAAAAAAAAATCGTGTTTAGTTGGGTTTTTATTTTTTGTTGTGAATCAGAGTTGCACAACAAGCCCCAAATATGAGAAACAACAATTTCTAACTTTGGATCTGATTCTTAAACATGTTGCACACGGGATTCCTATTGGTCGGGCGCTTGATTTCATTAAAACAGACCAGTTTCGAATCCCCACAGAAGCAAAAAAAATTCTTTTTTTTAACACCACCCCAAACCGTACTTACTTCAGAGCCATACACGTCGGCGCCTTCTCCCCACTCCAGCCATAAACCCCGACCACATCCGCCCTCCCGACCCTCCTCCGTCCCGACCCTCTGCCTCCGCGCCTCCCGACCGGCCGCCTCCGCCCTCCGACCCTCCGCCTCCGCGCCTCCCCTGCTCAACAGCCGTCGCCGCGCCTCCACTGCTCAACAGCCTCGCCTGCCCAGCCGCCGCCCGACCCTGCCCGCCGCCGCCGCCACTCCGACTCCCCTCTTTTTTCGGGTTTTTAGTTCTTACAGTAGTAAATAAACGCGTTTTTGTTTCTTGTTTTCAGCTTTCATGATTTTTCAGATTTATCAACTAAACAGGTTTGTGTTTTCTGTTTTTTTCCTGTTGTGGTTCTACATATGTTTACACAACACCACTACAACCACAACAGCAACAAAATGATACTAAACGGGCCAGCTTCCATCATGGCCGTTGTGGAGAAAGATTTTTGTGGAAAAAAAAACTCTACAATTTTCTCATGTCATTTTTAACACTTAACATTTTAAAGTTATTAATTACATTAAAGTAAAACTAAATAAGCATGTATATCAATCATCATTACAGTATTTGAACCTCTGACCTATGAGCTCAAACTATCATCATAACCAATAGGAAAAAATATATTTGATTCTATTAATCACAACAAAATATGTATATCAATCACCATAAATAAGATTTAATCATACAACCTAGGGGCTCAAACAATAAACATTTCAATTGTTCACCTAATGAAAAGGAAAAATCCAAGAGAAATGAAACAAAAACAAAAAATGAGAGCGAGATCCTCTCTATGGCTCAAGGGTTTTGGAGCGGCCGGCCACTTTCCTCCTTCATTTCTAGGGCTTTTACTCGTTTCAATCTGAACTCCGTAGTGGAATTAGCACCCAGATTCGGGTTAATCGTGCCAATCTTCTAGCGATAGTTTACTATATGTGTCCATATCAGATTTCTGTTGATAGGGATCTTTTGCTCCTTATTCGTAGTTCAGTCGTTTGTCGACAAGAGTGTGGCAATCCTTCGCCGGTGTTCTCCTAACAGACGTTTCTCACATTTTGCTTGCTCAGTTTCGTGCGGATTTGGGTGATCTTTTCGATTGCACGGATTCCGCGATTACAGATCTAGTGGGGATCCAAACTGATTCGTTAGCTGGGGGGATTCCTTATCTACCTGTGTGGCGATTAGGCTTTCAAGCCTTTATTATAAATCTTCGCGGGATGGGATGGTGTCCTTTATCATATCCTTGCTTGGATTCCTTTTCTCCATCTTTCTTGGGTGCGTGTTTTATACTTGGTTCTATGCTTTCGTTTGCTTGGCTTCTTTATAGCTTTGAGTCAACTCTGTGTTCTCTTTTACTAGGGTTGCCTTGGGTTTGGTGCTGGGCTTATCGATTGTGCTTGTGGTCTCAGTTTTTCTAGATTTCTAGTGAACCTCTACCGCTAGCTATCATGGATCTCATGGATGTTGATCAAGTGGTTATGTTTGATGATGAAGATGTCGAGGAAAGTTTGGAGCGTGTCCGCCTCAGCCTATTGTGTCATTTTTTCAGCGAAGCTACTCCTAATCGAGTCATTTTCCAGAGGATTGTGACTGGCTTGTGACGCTGCCAAGCTCAGGTGCATGTGTTTGGAAGCTGATTGGGGTCTGGTACAGTTTCTATTCTCGGATGCTGGTGACATGGAACGCGTCTTGCTGCATTCTCCGTAGATCATCAAGGATCACGTTCTGCACCTGGCAGAATGCGTCCGGTCACTCCTGAGGTGGTTAGATCTCTTGCTTTTGTTTCGTTCTGGGTCCAAATGCGAGACATTCCATCTCATCGCAAGATAATTAGGATTAGAAGGCGTATGGCTGGACGGATTGGTGAAGTTTTGGAGGCTGGTTTGTTTGGGATCCGGGGTGATCCTAGTTTCTTTTTCAAATCTAGAATTCTTGTTGATATGGAAGTTACCCTTCGCTCCAGGTTGTATGCTAGCAATCAAATTCATGGGCTTTCTGGTTTACCTTGAATTATGAGTGAATGCCTTTGTTTTGTTAAAACTGTGGGCGGGTGGGTCATGTTGAACGTCAATGTGAGACTACTCATTTTCGGGGAAATGAAGTGTATGGTGATTCCTTTTTGGTGGAGCCGGCTGGACATCGCCTGGATGAGCATACTCTTTTGCCAATTCGAGCTGTTTTGGTGAACCCGAACGTTGGTGCTAATGCTGGTGGCGCTTGGGTTGTTGGCCAAGGAGATGTTTTGATGGTGGATCAGCAGCGCATGCCTCCTCCTCCTCCTCCTCTAGAGCTGGGGAATCAGAGGGTTGAATGACAACCTACTGTGGAGGGTCCGAGAGCTCTTGGTCCGAATGCTGAAGAAAATTCTATCAATGTTCATGTTGGCGACCTTGATTTTTGAAGCACTCAGGGTTCGGGGAATTGGGGATGGGTGGGGCTGTCCGGTTTGTTCAGGGGTGGAGGAGGAGACCATGAAGAATCTTTTCTTTCGTTGCCCGGTCGCTATTGTTCTTTGGCAGTTGACTGGCTTACAGGGTCTGCAAGAAGATATGTCTTTGGGGAGTATGGCTATGTTTTTGAGGTGTGTGTTGGAAAAACAAGGTGTTGGGTCGAATGAGATAATGTAGTTGGTG